CCGCGGCATGTGGGATCTTCCCGGACCGGGGCACGAACCCACGTCCCCGGCATCGGCAGGCGGACTCTCAACCACTGCGCCACCAGGGAAGCCCAGGAATAATATTTTTTTAAAGATATTAATCACACAGCTATACTTTGTGTGTGGGGGGGGTATACTATATATTTTATCAATAAATTAATTTACAAATGTAAATAAAAACCCCCCAAATATTTAAAAAGATAAACTCATACAAATAAAAAATGAACACGTGTCAAAGATTTTATTTAACTCATTAATAAAGGAGCTAGTAAAATGTAAAACAGAACAGTTCGAAGGCAGCTGGGAACACTAAAGTAAATTTGCTAATAGATGCAAAACTTGTCAAAATCCACAGGGTAAAACTCAAGTAAATCTCCACTGGACAAATTTATTTTTCTTTTAGTTTTTTTGAGATATAACTGACATACAGCACTGTATACATGTAAGGTGTACAGCATAATGACTTGACTTACATCTGTTGCAAAATGATTAGCACAATAAGTTTGGTTAACATCCAACATCTCATAGATACAAGAAAAAGAGAAAAAAATGTTTTTTACTGTGTGATGAGAACCTTTAGGATCTACTTTGCTTCTCTGTGAACAAGAATCATTTGCATTCCTATCAGTTTTAAACAATTTACAGAGCTGTTAAAATAGCTCTAAGACGAGGGAAGAGGGGTCCCCTTGACAATCACATGACCCCAGAAGGGTCCACTAGAAACTCTTCGAATCCCACTCAGAGGATACCCAGAAATTGTTTTGCCCATTTCCAAGTCTTTTAGAGTTTCCATGACAGTCTCATGCTCACACACGTTAGGCAGCTCATGATAATAATAACAGTGTTTTATAAAACCAGTTTTTTTCCTCTGATTATAAAAGTAATCCATGTTCATTGTCAAAAAATTGAAAGATGCAAAAAAGCACAAAACAGAAAAGGCAATCGCCTGAAACCTCTCGTCCTTCCTTCCCTCTCGTCTCCCAGGCCTGCAGAAGAACTTGCTAACAGTTTGGTTGATGAATTTTCGCAAATGGGATCTGTCCATATAACCAGTACGCACTCAAGAAACAAAGCATGACCCACCAGCCCAGAAGCCACCTGTACCCTCTTCTGGACACTACCCATCAGGCCCAGGGCAGCCAGCCTCCTGACCTCTGACAGATAGATTGCTTTTGCCTGTTTTTATACTTTATATGCATTGGAATCCTCAAATAGGTGCTCATTTGAGTCTGGCTTCTTTTGCTGAATATTTTGTTTGTGAGATCCATCCATGCCATTTTTAATGCTTGCTCAGTCTTTGAGCTTATGAGTGGATCAATATTATCTGTAACTGATTCCCTATTTTGGACTTGTAGGTTGTTTCTAATTTTTCACTAATCATAGAATAGAAACCAGAAAAAGCCCACTTTTAAAAAACAGCATTCATATGTATTTCTCATTTGGATCCTACAAAACCTGGAGTCGTTGACTCTTCAGTTTGAAGGAAGTTGCCCATGTAGCATATGGATCCCTAAGAGGTAGTGGGAGAGGTGTTACCCCTTTTGCCATTAAGGATTCCAAGGCCAAGGGTCAAGGTAGTGAGGTGCTCCTAGAGTTAGGGCAGGGCTGTGCTCTGACGCGGGCTTCCTGCCCATGGTGCCGCTCTGTGGGACCGGCACTGCACCTCTGTCCTGCTGGCCAGCTCCCTGGCCCCAGGCCTGAGTCGCTCGCTTGCTTCTTCCCATGTCAGGCTGTGCTCTGAATGACTCTCCCGTGGGACTGGCTGCCTATATTCTAGAGAAGTTTTCTACCTGGACCAATCCAGAGTTCCGAGACCTGGAGGATGGAGGCCTGGAGAGGTGAGACCCCATCCACCCCTGCTGCTGGCACCACCTTCCTTACCCACCTCCCTTCTCGCCATCTTCATCTCTGCTTGCTTTATCTGGGTGGGATGGTCAGCAAGTTCCATCTGTTGCTGGATGTCCCACAGATCCTCACCCTGTGGCCAGCCTAACCCTGATTTTTGGATGAGGAAGCTGAGGCCCAGAAAGGTCTAGCCTCACAGTGGAGGGGTCAAGAATAGGATGCAGGGCTCAAGACTGTTCTGCTTGCTAAACTGCCTCCTCCTGGGACCGGGGCGTCCAGAGGGCAGCAAGAGCCTCTTATTGGCCAAGACATGGGAGCAGCCCACGGCCCCTCCCCCCTGAACCCCGGAAGAGCTGGGCTGCATGGCCGTAGGAATGCATGCTCTGTGGAAGGCGGTCCTGCAGCATGGCTGCAGAAAGAGTGGGGAGGCCGTCCTGTCTCCCGAAGCCTTGGAGGCTGCAGCCTCGACAGCACAAGATTCCTGGGTCCCTGGTCTGACCTAAGCTTCATCAAGGTTGGTCTTGACCCGCCTTCTCCAGGGCCCATCCCTTTTGTTGTTGCTTCAGAGACACAGAGAGTGCCAGATACAGTGCTAAGATGTGGAAAAGAATGGATCTGGCCCTGGAAGTAGAGACTTTGTCTAAGCCATGCCCTAGCCCCAGCACCTGGAGCAGCATCGGGCATATAGTTGGTGCTCAATAAATACTTGTCTGATGAAATGAGCTCTAAAGATACATGCCAAGGACTGTGGGGCACAGAGAAAGGAGGATTCACTTTGTTTAAGGGACAGGGAGGGGAAATGACTGGGAGAATCTATTTGGGCCTTAAAGGATGAGTAGGAGTTTGTCAGGTGGAAAGGACGAAGAAGGGAACTTAGGCAAAGAGAAGAGCAGAAGCAAAGGTTGGAGTGATTAAAATGCATGGTGTACTTGGAAGGGGTAACTTGTCCCGAGGCTGGAGCAGGTACAGTGGAGCCAGACCACAGACTCATTCCTATAGGCGGGTCCTCCAAGAGCCTCACCCTGGGATCTGTCTCCCCCGCCCCACACTGGGCAGCACCCAAAGGTCAATGGAGTGCCACCGGGAGCACCTTGGCGAGGGGTCCGGCCCTGCTCCTTGCACACAAGTACCTGGAGCCAGATGTGAGGCCAGCCAGACCGCCCACGGGCTTCCCCCTTCAGCTCCTGTTTGGCTGCATACCAGGAGCACCAAAGCTTTGAGCAGGGGACAGATGTGATCAGATCTGTGTTCTATAAGGGACACAGATCTCTTTGCAGGAGGGTGGAAATGGTTGCTGTGGTAGTTTTCAAGCTGTGGTCAGAGCTGTAGGGGTGATGGAAGCACTTGGCCAACTTGCCAAAAGCCAGTTCACCAGTTTATTTATGTTTTTAAATTTATATATTTATTTTTGGCTGTGCTGGGTCTTCGTTGCTGCCTGCGGGCTTATTGCGGTGGCATCTCTTGTTGTGGAGCATGGGCTCTAGGCACGCAGGCTGCAGTAGTTGTGGCGCGCAGGCTCAGTAGTTGTGGCACGCGGGCTTAGTTGCTCTGCGGCATGTGGGATCTTCCTGGACCAGGGCTTGAACCCATGTCCCCTGCATTGGCAGGTGGATTCTTAACCACTGCGCCACCAGGGAAGTCCCAGTTCACAAGTTCAAATGCTTCTTTTAACTGTTCAGTTTCCATTGACTGGTTTTCATTTTGTTATCAAAATTGCATTTAAAAAGATGTTCAGGACTTCCCTGGTGGCGCAAAATGTGGTTCTAAGGATAAAAATGTAATTGACCAACTGCATCTAAATAGCTGAAGCAAACAAGTAAATTAAGCAAACTGACCGTTTTGGGCCAATTGGCTTCTGATGAATCAACGAAGCTAACTGCATACAGCTGAGGAGCCTGGCAGGCGGAGCAGCAAATGTTCTTATTTTATTTATTTATTTATTTTTTGCGGTACACGGGCCTCTCACTGCTGTGGCCCCTCCCGTCGCGGAGCACAGGCTCCGGAAGCGCAGGCTCAGCGGCCACGGCTCACGGGCCCAGCCGCTCCGCGGCATGTGGGATCTTCCCGGACCGGGGCACGAACCCGCGTCCCCTGCATCGGCAGGCGGACTGTCAACCACTGCGCCACCAGGGAAGCCCGCAAATGTTCTTTAATCCAGGCAGCAAGGATGGGGTGGGAATGCAGGAGTGAGGGCAGCAGGGCTTTGCGGGGACACAGCCAGGCTGAGCTCATTTTCGTCACAGACATGCCGAGTGGGAGATGCTGGCAGGATGCCCGGCCGCAGGTGTCCACTTGGTAACTGGGCTCACAGATCTGGAGCTCAGGTGAGGGGTCTAATTGGAAGGAGTTATTTCCACTGTTCTCTTGGTGAATTAGTAGCTGGAGCCACAGGGTAGATCTCCTCAGACAGAGTGCAGCAGGGCAGCATCCAGGGATGCTGGGAGGAGCCTTACTGGCTGCTGAAGGACCAGATGTGAGAGAGTCTGGGAGGACAGACCTAGTGAGAGGGCCCTACCCGCGAGGCCTGGGCAGCAGGGACAGTTCCGGGGTGCAGGGTGAGGAGGCATGGGAGAGATGGCAGGGGTGGGAGAGAGGGGACAGGGGTATGGAGCGAGGGGAAGGCCTGAGGGCATTCGGGGTTGCGGGGGCTGGTGACTGACGTTTGGGCCTGAAGAGGCAGATGGAGGCATTTAGGGCCCAGGACAAGACGCGACAGCTCTCCTAAGCCCCAAATCTGGACTCAAGCAGGGAAGGGTATGGGGGGTGGGAGCTGCTGCCCCAAGAACTTGGATTTCCTCAAAGAGGCAGGCAGGGCAGGCGGGAGGCTGTGGGTGAGCACACGGCTGTCAGGACCTGCTGAGGAGGTGGCAGCTGAGGTTGGAGAGCGTGGCGTCAGTAGTGCCGGAGTCCCCTCACGTCTGTGGACTGTCGGGTGGGCTCAGGGTGGCAGAAGGCCCCCAGGGTGAAGGCACTGAAGGGGTGAGTGATGTCAGGGGAGCGAGAGGGTCTGGGGTGCAGTGGGCAGTTATTCCAGGGAAGAAGGGCAGATGCTGGGGAGTGGAAGATGAGTTGGGGAACAGTGGGGAAATGGAGGCCCAGGAGGCACAGCCAGCGGACGCAGGCCAGGCTGAGGGAGCCCAGCAGCAGGAGAGAGAGAGGGCCGGGTGGGCCCAGGAGGAAGTGGGGCTTGCCAGAGTCCACAGGCCACGTGCTCCAACATTAGGTACCAAATGATTATTTCCTTCCAGAGTGTGGGGCTCTGCAGTCTGGGTGGGGTTCACCTGCTCAGCAGTTCCCAGGCTGGAGAAGAAAAGGGGTGTCCCGTGCTGAGTGGGTGTGGCGGGTCTCTGCAGGACCCCATGGCTCCCTCCTGGGGTGACACAGGTTTGGCGGGAGGCACGCTGGGGGCTAGTGAATAAAAATGCCCCAGGAGCTGCTGACCCTGCCCTGCTTCTCCTGGTGTCCGGTCAGGGCAGGATCAGGGCTTCTAAAGCCTGCCTGGAGATCAGGTTTGGCTCAGGGCCTGGCAGGGTGGGCCCCTCTGATGATGGTCTGAAGGTGGCCTGCACTGAGGTCCCAGGAGTGGGCACCACCTCTGAGCAGGGTTTGCAGCATCCTACCCACCAACCTCCTGGCTTCCCAGCGGTGACCAGCCAAAGCTTCTGGGTTCAGTTGACCTCACCTGCTTCATCCCTTCTGGCCTGAACCGTCAGGCAGGTCAGGGAGGGGGTTGGCTGACACCACCCAAGATGACAGCCTGCCTTGTACATGGCCATCACTCTGCATTACCTGTCGTCACGGTTATGGTGACCCTGGGCCAGGCCTGCCTGTGGCACGCGGATAAGACCACCAAGCTGGCAGTGAGGCCTGAGGAGGGAAGCCAGGAGGGCATAGCGCCTGGCATACAGCTTGAAAGTGGCGGCTCTTATTTGTCATACAACTGCACCTGGCACTGAGAGGGGGCCTTCCGGTCTGCTTCCCCAGAAAGTTCTCCCTGGACGATCTGCTGACGGGCGTGATGCTCTACTGGACGACAGGCACCATCGCCTCCTCCCAGCGCTTCTACAAAGAGAACATGAGGCTGGACAATAGGCATGAGGGGTAAGTCCAGCGGAGCCCAGAGCGGGGCTTCTGAGGAGGGTGCCTCCGAGGCAGGGAGCAGGGGAATGGCCTGGCCTTGGACTCGAGGGAGGACGTTTGAGGCGGTAAAGTACAGCCTAGCCTTGGGTGCGCACCAGGAGTGTAAGATGAGGACACAGTTTAAAGGTCGGGGGTGTTGGGAGAGATTCCTGTCATTAGAAGCAGCTCACGGAGGGAACACCAGGCCTGGCCCCCAGACATCCCGAGGGGCTCCCCCAGGGCCGGGAGGCTGTCCTAGGGTGGCGGTGGTGGCTCTGGGACTTCCCTGGAACCCTTTCCTGATCTCACAGGGAGACTCCCAGGCAGCAGCAAAGGGAAGGTGGGGACAAAGGTGGGGGTTAGAGGCTGTCCCACCCCACCTCAGTGACGCTGTCCAGCTGGGGCAGCCCTTCCAGAAAAGAGGGCCCCAGAGAGGGCTGGAATTGAGGTGGGCGGTTAAAACCCTGGGTCTGTCCTTCTATGGCTCCACGTGGGTGAGCGAGCTGAACCCCCAGCCCCCTGAACCCCTGCTTTGGGGGAGAGGGGGGCCAGGCCACAGCTTCCCCCTCAGTGGGATCTCTGTCTCTTCCAGGATGAAGGTCCACGTGCCCACGGGCTTTGCTGCCTTCCCTTGTGAGTTAATACACGTCCCAGAAAAGTGGGTGAAGTCCAAATACCCGAAACTCATCTCTTATTCCTACATGCCCCGTGGGGGCCACTTTGCTGCCTTTGAGGAGCCAGAGCTGCTCGCCCAGGACATCCACAAGTTCATGGGGCTGCTGGAGCGGCAGTGACCCCGGCGGGGACCGGCTGTCACCTCGCAGGCAGCCCCTGCCCTGGCATGGCAGGCTTCCTCCTGACACCCGCCGTTTTCCCCAGAAGCCCCCGGTCTCCCAGCCCAGCTCCCAGTAGAAGTGAGGCTGGCAGGGAGGCCCCCTCCCAGTCCTCTGTTGGTGGAGTTGTCCCCTTCCCCAGGAATGTGCTTGCTTCCGTCCCCTGCCCGTGCTGGGACCTCATGCTCACCCCTCCATACACGCCCCACACACTTTGTTAAGCAACATGGCTTTGATGATAAATGATCTTCCTTCTAAGAGCGGCTGGAACAAGTGACATGTCGAGCCGCAACCCCACGTGGGGTGCCCCTTCCAGCAGAGCTGCCAGGTCTGCACTGGGGCTCTTGCTCCAGCCCGGTCAGGAGAGGCAGGACGGGCCGCTGGGGCCGGCGGGAGGCCACTCCGTCCTCCCAGGCGCCGCTCAAGGCAGCTCTGAGCAGAGGCAGTGAGGCCGAGTGACTGCTGGGGACCTGCCCGCCTCGCCTCAGCGGGGACGGAAGCGGCCTCCCAGCTCTGCCCACCGGCACCCATCACACCGGCTTGTGCCTCTGGCCGTAGGGAGGCAGCTTCTCCGGCAAGTGCCCAAAGGTGTGTCCCAAGCCGCGGGATCCCGTGGGGAGAGAAAAAGCAAGAGGCTGGGCCCCCCCCCCCCCCGCTTCTGTGGCCGTAGCTCTCCCTTGGCTTCAAGGAGGCCCGGAGCACTGCTCCCTTTGGAGGGAACAGACAGATGGAATCAAGGGCTGGAGGCTGAGCCCCACGCACTGGGCCCCGAAGAGGCGGCATCTCACCAGTCTGGCTGAATGGGCATTTTATTAGTGGTCCTCATTGTCTCTGCCAGCTGCAGGGGACCCTGACCCAGCCACAGTGTCACTGGCAACGTGACAGAAAAACACAGAACCATGGCAGGGATGCAGAGGAGACTGGGGCGGCCCAGCACCGGCCCGCTCCCGTCCTGCGCCCTACGGCTCGCTCCTGGGGGCCGGGGGCAGGGGTGTGAAGGGCCTGATAGCCAGAAGGGGAAGCTGGGATGGACCTGGACCATCATCTGGCACCCATCTCAGGCCTGCGGTTGCTGCAGACTCTTTGGCCAGCAGTTGCGTGTGTGCCCGGAGGAGGGGGGCGGTGTCTGAGTGCTCAGAGGGAGGAGGTCTTCCACATCGTACCCCCCCCCCCGCCCTTGTTTGGTGCAGTCACCACACTAATGGGTTGGAGGAACACAGTGCCAACACGTG